GCGCCCTGGAAGGACAGGGCGCCGGGGCCTCGCGGTGGCTTCAGCGGCTGCAGGCTGCTCGCGGGTCGGAACCTGCGCGCCGCGCGTCCGCAGCTCTCGGCCAGGCTCCCCGCGGTCGGCGCGTCCGTCTGTCCGTCCCGCAGTCCGCCGCCTCCCGCGGGCTGCCGGGGAGCGCGCGAAGCCGGCGCACTTGTCTCGGGCGGGCGCCGCCAGCACCTTTAAATCGCGCTCCTCTTTCTCATTCACATTTTGCCTGCTGCCCAGCCGTGCTCGCGTCACGTGAGCTCGAGTGCCGATTCCCGTTGGCTGTGCTCAGGGAGGCGGGGCGCCGCCGGGGCTCCGCCCCTTCCAGCCCCGCTGGCTGCGGGTGGGCGGCGGGGTTGCGGTTGGAGCCAGCAGGCCTGGGAGCGAGAGCCTGGGCGCCTGCACCGCACGGAGCAAACTCAAGAGCGACCCTCGCCACCTCCCGGGCTCAGTCCTTAGTGCCTGGCAGCCCGGTTGAGGCCGCCTGAAAGGCGGCTCGGATCTCGCACCCGCCACCGATGGGCCGGGAGTGTCTAATTTCCTTTCCATTTGCTATGGCAGAAGCCTGTGGGCGACTCACCCTAGCCAAGAGGTGCTTGGCTGTGCCGGGGGTCCCGCCAGGTCACCGGAGTTGGGGTAGGGTCCTGCCTCTGCAGGGGCTCCCAGATGCGCTCCGGGTCTTCCGCTCGCCGCACCGAATCCTCCCCGTTCCTTGCTGCGCCTAGCGCGCTCGTAGAGGGGCGGGCAGGCTGCTGGTCCCCCTCATTCCTAGCTGGGCCCACCGTGAGCGATCCCTTCTCATTTTTCATGACATTCTTAATCATCGCACCTATTTACCCACTTTGCCAGCACGCACCAAAATAACAACCACGATAATTATGTTAATAAAGCGAGTTCTTTCTCTGCTCCATCTTAGGGGAGGAAGGGGGGAGTTCGTGACGCCTCTGGATTGTATAACGTGAGATTATCCTGATGAAAGCTTTATGATGTTTGCTCAAATAAAAGCTGCGTTTTGTAAATAGGCGCTAATTAAGCACGTTGGGAACCGAGGGAGCTTCTCACCCTGGCGCCGCGCAGCGCAGGACTCCAGGGCGCGCAGTTCCCCTTTGCCGATTGCGGGATGGAGCCGATTCCCTCAAGATATTTCCCCTGTCTCGGCAATGGTAAAGACCCGGGAATTTGGGAGGCAGGAGATTGCGGTGGAGGGAAAGTGGGCACGTCTTCTCCTCTCCCTTGCGGCGAAACAAACTTTCAGCTCTTGCGTTTTCTTTACCAGGCAAACCTAGCCAAGCGCGCCAGAACGCGCGGGGCTTCCCCGCGTCCCCGGGCCTCGGCTTCAAATTCCCGGGTCTCCACGTCCTCTCAGAAGGCTGACAGCACCGGGCCAGGGAGCAGAGAAGGGCATTGTTATATCAGCCATTAAAAATCAGCTCACACCTACGAGCTACTGTTTGGGGAGTTAGCCCACGTTGGACGTGTGTTATGTATCACAAGCACATTTAATTGGGAGATAAAGATAAATCGATCTTTATGAATTTATCGACCCGATTCTTTGAAGGTCTTCTTTCTCCTTCTCCTCTTTCTCTCGCTCTAACCCCAAGGCCTCCGGGGGACATCTCAATCCTTTCTCCTCCAGCCAAGAGTCTGGTCAGACAGCCGCTGGCCACCCAGAGAGGTAAGAAGAAAGGGTGCGTTCTTGGTGTCTCCGGGCTCCGAGAACACTCGCTGGCCCTGCTGCCAGCCGCCCTCCTCCCCGCAGTCTCTTCTCTCCTCCCCTCCATCACCCGGACAAAGACATCTCAGCGCCTTTCCCCACTCCAGGCCGCAGTAATGGATGGTTTCGGCAGCAGGCGGTTTGAAAGGAATTCATTAGGACGCTGCCTGTATTGCTTCCCCTCACTTCACGCCCAGACCTCAGATGGCTTAGGCAGTGTGAGGAGAAATTTATGCCCATTGGGATCCATGGGAAGGAGGTGTCTGTGGGGTCTCCAAGCTGCATCCCCGGGTCTCTACTCCCATGAAAGAAGAGAATCGAAGCCTAAGGCAAAAGGCTGATTTCTTCATGAGCATAATAAATAGTCCGTCTCATTATGAGATAGTTATAGAGACGATCTTCGGTGCCATTACCTTGTTTTTGGAACTCTTAGAATAAACGCTCCTTTGATTTACGTAGCTACAGCCTGGACCTCCGCGCTAGCCTGTGGCACGCCTGTGTAAGCAGTTTCTCATTTACCTGGCCCGTTTGCCTTTCACTTTGCTCCTTCACCATAAAAAATATTGTTGCAGGGACTTCCGTCGCTTGATTACCCTCAGAGAGACAGGAATTCATTTGATTATTTTGGCGATTCTACATTTTAAAGTTCACAAGAAGATGTAAGTCCGGTGAATCATAGCTACACTTGAAAGAATTTGATGGCATATTATTTGTATCCATAAATTGCCATGGAAAGTATTGATTACAGGGGTTATAATACTAATCTTTTATTAGTGAGTTCAGATAATTTTCATCAATACGAATTTTATTTACTAGTGTGCTTTTCTGGAATGCAATACAGTACTATTTTTCTCATCTAATGCTTAACTGCTCAGAAAACGACCGTTGGCGTCATAAAAGGATCCTTGTATTTCGGCGTGATTAACAAGGATCCATTCCGGGACACCTCAGCTACCAGCGAAGCTCGAAGCTCGGGGAGCGCGGGGGGCTGCGGATAACAAAAGCCTTGGGAGCTCCGGCTGTGCTAAGAGATTTACGCGGAGAGAGCGACAGGTCCACCGTTCGGAATCCTACCTGCTTAGCTCGGAACTGCCCGGGACAGCTGAGTCCTGCGTGACGGGGCTCAGCCTGGGCTGCGCGGGAAAACCACCCAGCTCAGATCTTTGAAGCGAGCTTGAAGAGCCCCGCCCCCCTCCAATTAGGAACTGGGCTGGACGCGCGGGAAGGGAGAGCTGGGTTTCCCAACTGCAGTTAACTTCGGCGAACTTTTCCTCCGGGAGCTTTCCTCACCGATGAAGATAGCCTTTTGGGGGGTTTACTGATGCCAAACGGACGTCAGGATTGTATTCAGTCACTTACAACGTGGCTTAGACGTTCAATAAAAGTGATGGTAGTTAAGTTGGCTCCTCGCTTGTAGGTTGTGTCTGGGTCAGCTTTTGCTCACAGGTGTGTGAAGACTGAACACAAAATACGAAACGCACAAGTAAATGAATATTCATGCGTCGCGGAGGAGGAAGCCCTGAGCGCCTGGCGCTTGAACGGGGGCGGCCTGGGCGCCCCAATCTCGGCGGATGAGGGGTGGGGAAAACCTGCCGGCCTCTCCTGGCCCCGCTGTCCCGCCGGCCGCCCAGACCCAGGCTTTAGGCTGGTTTCTCCGGCAACCGTGTTTTTATTTAGAGGGATCTGAGTGGTCTGATCGGTCACTGCCGCAGTTCTTGCTCCTGGCAATAGTTTGGGAAATAACTTGGGCTGGTTTTATTTATGGAGGGGCAATTGAGATTCACACTCAGCTAGCCCAGAATCGCGCTTCCCCAGCCCAAGACGCACTTACAAAGGGGTGCTTGTGCAAAATTCCCCATCAGACACACCAATTTGCAAGGAGCAGAAAGCATTGAAGCCTCATCTTTTTAAACTATTTTATTCAGCTTTTTTTTTTTTTTTTTTTTTAAATCTGAAAGCCCAAAATAGACTCCATGTGGTTCTAAGTGAAGTCAGCCCTTGGCGGGCTTTGAAATGGCTCCTGTAATTATGTAAAAGAGCTATTCACCAACAGGACGGAATTAAAAGGGATCTCGCCCGCTTCCCTTTCTCTGCCTGGCTCTCATGTTTGGCTTTTCAAAGCACTTCCAACACGATGTCTTTCTCCAGGACAAAAGGCAGAACAAAAAAAGTCCCTAAACTTGTAAATTGAACGTCAAGGGAACTTTAAACAATTTAAAGCCCATAAATAATGATAAAGGGGACTGGCAAAAAAGGCAAACCCATTCAATTAATAGAGTTTCCCAAGCAAAGATCAAGTGGTGTATAAAATAGTCTTTCGGTTCTTTATCCTAGCCGCCTGGACTTTGCAGAAAGCAGGACCTTTTTTTTTTTTCCCCAAGTGCCCCGAAGAAACACTGAGCTGAGCCGGACAGTGTGTGTCGCGACATTCTTATGTAGAAAGTTCGCTTTTTGTCCCCGACCCTCAAAGTAGCAGAAACAAAACCACCGCAGTCCAGAAACGTGAAGGGGAGGGGTTTTCCTTTCCTTCGCAGTTCTCTCCCGGGAGCTGTAAAATTTGTTCCTGGACGCCGAGAACTGTGACCTTCACACCTGTGCGGCTCTACCCTCTCCACCCGGGAAGGTCAGGCTGAGCCACACAGCGCGGCCGGCGAGGAGAGCCCTTGAGGATCTGGGGGCGCCAGGCGTCGGGCGATGCTGCAGGCGGGGAGCCCCAGAAGCAGCCAGGCCCGCGTCCGCTCTTGGGGTACTGAGCGTCCCGCAGTCTCCCTGGGTGGGGACCCTGGAGTC